CTCATTAGTATAGTCCATAGCTATGCCTTACAAATGAATTTTTTAATAGTTGGGTTCAAAAGAGATTTTTTTAAGTTGGCTAAAGATTCAATGGTGAGTAAAATCAAAATTTTCTTTTATTCAGACAGTGATGTGAGCAATATTGTATTAATCAAATAGTTTAGCTTTCTTTACATGACTAAGGATAAATTCAGGACTTTTTATATGAATTTTAAAGGCAAGAGCATTCTTTCTTTAAATTATTAGCAAATATTCAATCGCATGCATTGTATGCGCTTAACTATCTTTTTTTTATTCATAATTCTGTGGGCTTTGGCAATTCTTTCATTACATGCATTTGAGACTTTAACAATTCTTCTTTACACAGTTTTAGTGATCTTTACTTTTAGTTGCATGCATTCTATGGAACTTTAGCAATTTTTTCACTATATCCATTCGATAGGCTTGGTCGTCACAATAGTAAGCTTTGTAAATTTCTTTCCAAATTTAGTAATAATTTTGTTTACGGATCTAGTGAATTTTACGTTTTATAATTTAAATTTTTGCATTATTTCTATAAAAGGATAGGCCTTTAACTATAAAAGGGTAGGATTATTCCTATAAAAGAATAGGATTATAGGATCATTCCTATTAAAGAATAGGATTATATGCCCTTAATAATTTTTTATTTTTTATTTTTGTTTTTTTGTATTTAGCGTTTGAGTTTCAGTAATATACGTTTTACCATTTAACAATATGGACTGCTAAGGTTTTAAAACGTTAATGCTGAGTTTCTGAAACGTTAAAACAAAACAATTTTGCAGTGTATTTTTCTAAAGATTGCCAAACTTTCTATGCTGGACTAATTTTAGTTTTCAAATTTTTAGTTATCCTTTTGTAGAATGCAAACGCCGTTACTCCGTTACATAGTTCCCTGCGCAGGATACAATTTGTTTTGTGTATCACCTGATTTGATTTATTGTAGCTTAACTAAAGATGGCAGAATGCGCATGAATGCGCATACATACGCGTTTTTTGCTAGACATAATCCAATCTAATTTCAATTTGGTATTCTATTATTTACGTGCGTTACAAAGAATAACATATTTAATTGTTAGGCTTAAGACATAATAAGAACTGGGCACTAAAGTTATTCCATGGCTCCAGCCCGCATTATTTTGTTCATGGGCCAAATTATCTTAATACCGGTTGGATTAATGGTTCACAGTTAAGTGGTTATAAAATTTTGATTAAATGAAATGGAATCATGTGTATGATGCGCAATAATGCACACACATGAAACTGAATTGACCCATCATTAGATATTACTTTAGTATCAGAGCTAACAAATTTTTATCATATAAATATTGATGGATTTTCAGGAATCATGCGCATGAATGCACATTGGCCCATCCCTAAGCTTGGCCGTCGTGTGCGGCTAAATTTACTTTATGTAAGATACTATTACCATCGGATAAGAGTATTACAGCCAGTGCGGATGTAGCTCTAAATACGAATGGTTTTTAATAATAATGTGAAACATCTAATATGAAGCTTAAGATATTCGCAGGTATATGAATGAGATTTACTCATTCAAGTTATTTGCAATCATCAAATGATAAATTAATTAGGTAGGTTAAAATATGTTTGAAACATGCTATCGATGTATTTAGTAATGACTGATTGGTAAGTTGTTCTTATACGGGGTTCTGTATTTGTAAGCGGT